GAAAGATTGAGCGAGACGAAGAGAGAGAGAAAATGTTCCTGGCATGGTTGGGTGATGCGCTGTGTATCTCTGACAGAATCAGCTCTATGTGATTCATGGCTCCTCGGGGCTGGGCCGAGCTGGGCTGGTGACGTCCTCTGAAGTACTGCAGTTCGCCACTGTGAAAAAGGTAAGCAGGTTGTGTTTAGAGGAAGAAAAAGTATCCAGTTCAACTCAGGAGAGAATTGCCTTTCGCGGATCAAGTGTCCCTGTCGCCGAAGGTATCGCGTTCTTGCTTGGAAAACAACAATTTGAGACCTACACTAATGGTCAAAAGTTTGGAATAATTATGATTTTTTTTTTATGTTTAGAAAGAAGACTCTTATGCTCACCAAGGCTGCATTTACTCTAAGTGATCAAAAACACAGGTGAAACTGTAATACTGTGAAATATTATTACAATTTAAAATAACTGTTTTCTATTTGAATATATTTTAAAATGTCATTTATTCCTGTGATGCAAAGCTGAATTTTCAGCATCATTACTCCAGTCTTCAGTGTCACATGATCCTTCAGAAATCATTCTAATATGCTGATTTGGTGCTCCACAAAAATATTACGCAGCACAACTGCTTTCAACATTGGTATTAATAAGAAATGTTTCTTGAGCACCAAATCAACATATTATTCCAAACATTTGACCTGTAATGCAAGTTTTGAGCCATCACAAAAATCACTCCTAACTGGTACGCGATGAAAAAGTATTTTTAAAAAACCCAAGGCGTCATAGGAGGCATTAACCGCCGGAGCTGATGGCGAGTTATTTTTTCCTCCCTCTGCCTGGCTAAAACCACAATCCATTCTTCCTCCAAAGCTGTGACGGATTTGGGATGGTACAGCGGTTTGGGTTCATTTCCTGTCTACACTCTGAATATTTCCACTCCTTCGTTCTAAGCTCACGGCGCTCTACTTTAAAAGCTACTTTAACTTTCCACATTAGCCTTCCTGCTGTCGATCAGCGCTAAGACGGATTGACACATCCGACCGTATACTCTTAAACGGCCCCAGAAAGGCAGAGGTACCGTATAGCGGAGGCCACAAGAGCAGGGCATATGGATTTAGATCAAATGTCTTATGGACGAGGGCTCTGGAAACTTCTACGAGAGGTTTCAAGCTCACTTAAAGAGCAAATATGAACTGTTCCATTTCTAAAAAAGCAAGTAAAAACGAGAAGGTAAAGAAGAGAAAGACACTTTCTTCTAATCAGACTCATTGGACCAGCAACATAAAGGTCGTGGGTTCGATTCCCTGAGAATGCACTAAATGCTTCACAATAACACCTCACATTTCTGAGGCACTCAACAGTTAATATGCAAATATGAAATAAAAATAAAATAAAACAGACAAAACAAATGTTTGGTTTTTTTTCGCAGTGATGCCATCAACAAACTATTTTGGGTTCCTCAGAGAACCTTTCAGTGAACAGTTCATAAAAGAACCATTTGAACATTTTAATAATCTAAAGTACCTTTATTGGAAAGGTTACATGGATGTCAAAGTTTCTTCATGAAATCAGATGCCAGTAAAGAACCTTTATTTTTAAAACTGTCTGTTTATTGATTCCCAGATTCCTAAAATGCACAGTAAAAGCGTTAAATGCTTCACAAAAACACTTCACATTTCCGTGGGACACTACAGTTTAAATATGCCAAAAAAATAAACCAGAAAACACAAACCACATCTGATCTGCTTGTAGTTTGCATATTTTCTGCCGAAAAATAATTGTCACATCCTGCATAAAACATAAGCATACGTGTCCGAGGGATGTTTACAGCAAACTTCGATGGATAAAACTTGACATCTACTTGTTATGCAAAGGAGACATTACAATAAGACTCTCTCGCTCTGTGTGCTGTAACCTTGAATGAAATCTGTGTGGAATCAAATGAAGAAAGATGTTTGGAGACGAGACGCATTGTGTGGAAAGTCTGAAGCTGAGGAACCTCCAGGCGCTGTGGAGGTCACATGGTCATAAGGAGGGTCAGAACTGAGTGTTGAAGGTTCAAAGGCCAGACGTCATTAACACACACATACAATCACACATTAATTCAGAAAAAATACTTTTTAATGATTAATTTCTTGTTTTATTTTTTATTTTTACCCTACGTCCCCTATTCCAGCATCACAGCAGGGGACAGTGGCTACAGTGCTGTCAAGCGGCATTAATAAACAACAGTAAAATATAGCCTCGCCGAATTGGTCCGCTGCAAAATTAAACAAAGCGTATCATTGTCATCAGGCAGTCGTTTCCGAGAAAGCCCTTCATAAACCTTTTTATTGTGGGAGATAAAAATGACACAAATTCCTCTGCCTTCTGACAGGGCAAATGGTAGCACAACATTAAGAGTGACAGATGATCTTCTGCTTCGGAGTCACATATCCCATCAATTAAAACCTGTCTGACACTGAACCCTTTCCTGGCACCCAACAAACATTCTTCACACCCAATCACTGTACAACACTGACAATGCCATAATATCTATCACACCACTTGGGTATAACTTGCCCCTCAAGTAATAATTTAAAGGAGTGTATTATGTACTCTCACAGCCCCAGATGTAAGGCTCAAGTACCCCGTCATTCACAATAAACCATAAATGTGTGCTCTTACCTCTTACACTGGATATCATTTAACACTCATGTCATTAACATTTTCCACTTCTAAACTAAAACAATCAATAAGGTAACTCTTTATTGATTGACAAGGCAACTCCTCTCAAAGTATTGTATTAATTACCCCAAAAAATATGATATTAAAAAAACTATAAAAATATTATACAAAATTATACAAATGTCATTAAAAAATTATAATATATATATATATATATATATATGTATTATAATTTTTATATACAATATTTTAAAAATGAATTAAAAAACAATAATGATATATATATATTTTTTATTATTATTAAAATTATTCAAAATATTTTATAAATAAAACATCAAGTTAACAATTAAAAAACTTTTTACAATTATTTTATTTAAAAACTAAATTAATATTTTATATTTTATTCTATATATTTATATAATATATATTTTAATAATAAATGTTAAATCTTTTCAAAAAGCTTTTAAAATCATTAACACTCACTTTTTACTATATTATTTACACATGTGTAAGTCGCACTTGTTCTAAATTCTCTTTTTTAATAAATAAATTAAATAACCAAACTTCCGAGGTTTGGACGAGGTTTACGACACATGGAGTGGACGAAAGACAGTTCTGACAGTTCTGTTCCGCAATGTGATGTGGACAAGGTGAGCGCAGGCACATTGCAAGAACGGATAAACAACAAAAAAAAGAAACACATTTATAGACCCATAAAACATCTGAACGGAGAGCAAACGAACACGACTAGTGAGCTTATTTATTGCAGTACTCCTCTGTGCCTTGCTGTATTCCTCTGTGGGAAATGAGGTTAAATAATTGGTTAAGGATCAGAGCATTAACATGATCGTTGCTAGATTGTAGTTGTGGTTTATTACATAGCGTAATCAGACAAGAAATCCGATTTATAAAAACAAATGACATGGCCGCTGAGCTAAACTAGCCATTTCAGATGAACACAGTTTATTTAATCAGAGCAATAGAAGGTAATAGATGGCGCTCATTACAGTAGCACTGGCACGGGGCGCATTCGCACTCATGAGTATAAACACACACACTAACATAGACACATTAATAAAAGCCCTGACACACACAGGAACTTTTATAAGCAGATGTCGGGACACTCTCTCCGTTTCACAGACACACAGCCTGACATATAAAGTCTTATATACACACGCAGTCAAAGGGATACATCCCTGCACACCTGCAAAAATATACAGGTGAAGCAGTGATCTGATGGTTTCCTTCATAATTACAGAGTACAGAACAAAGTCCCCCCACCTTCTCTGATCCCCCATAAACCACCTGTTCAGCCCCTCCCTGCCACTTACATGCTATTGCCCCCAAAAATTCCTGAGAGAGTCATGGATAAACTCCTGGATTTATGATTCCAAGCCAGAAAGCAGCCAGATGAGCTGAAGACTGAAGTAAAATTGGGATCTAGACAGATAGACAGACTGTGGGGTGGTCTAACCATGCATGTCTTCATGAAAATCTCGTATTTATAGTAACACACATAGTCCAAGCAACGATTCAACCCTACTTAATACACATGCAAATCAAAGGGGAGTTTTACACTGAAAAAATGGAATAGGGACAATTTTCACTCAGAAATTGCTATTAAACATCACAAATAATTACAAAAGCGAGTAACAATAAGCCTGTTTCCTCCACAGGATGAAAAAAAATAAAAAAGGTAATTGCGACTTTTTTCTCTTTTTATCAGAATTGTAAAATATAAATTCAGAATTGAGAGATATAAACGTGTGATTCTGAGAAGAAGAAAAAGTTAAAATTGCAAGCTATAAACTTGCAATTCTAAGGAAAAAAGTCCGGACTGTGAGATATAAACTAGCAATTGTGAGAAAAGAGTCAGAATTGTCAGATAAAAAAAAAAATCGCAATTACTTTTTTTATTATTTATTTCATGGCGGAAACGTAAAAACAGAATTGTGATATATAAACTCAGAATTGCGAGAAAGAAAGTCAGAGTTTTGAGTTTTCATCGCAATTTTAAGTTTATATTTCGCAATTCTGAGTTGTTGTTGTTTTTTTTTCCATTTAAGTTCTGAGTTTACATTTCACAATTCTGACTTTTTTCTCTGAATTGCAAGAAAACAGTTTGAGTTGTAAGCAATAATCTCAGAACTGCAAGAAAAAAATGTCAAATTGTAAGATAAAAAGCCACAATTACCTTTTTTTTTTTTTTATTCTGTGGCGGAAACAGGCTTCCATACATAACACACTGAAATAAAAGTGAAATTTTAAAGTAGTTCTTGTAAAACGTATACCAATAATCTTTGTTTTATTTCCAAGTTCGAAAAATCTTTTTTTTTTTTTTTACAGTGTACCTATCATAAAAACATTACTAAGAATAAACTATAAAAGATTCAGGAAGTAACACTGTACATCTAATACTTGTGGTTAAGGTTGGGGGTAGAGTAGGGATGATATACAGTGAAGAAAAGACACATTTCACTGTCACTCAAAAGGGAAAATACAGTCAAGAATATAATGACAGCAGTTTGCCCAAACACACAAACACATTAAGACACTCCTGTATTCCATTACAGTTACTGTACCGCTGAGATCAGACTCCACAGTCCCGCTGGAGTCAGAGTGGGAGTTTTGGTTTTGGTGGAACGTGAATAGCTGGTTTGACAATAGTTTGTTTTTCCTTGTCTCTGCTTCTTTTGTCTGAGTTCATGTAAACTCATGTTGCTGATCTGTGAGACATAAACAGCTGAAAACAGAAATGGGCTGGCCCATTCCTTTCTCATTAAAAAAAATACAAATGTGCCATGCATACATTTGTTTGTGCAAGTGCTGATTGTTTTTAATGTTGTAACGCGCTCAGACTGCTCCTCTGGCCCAGATGTGTGTTTGGATGTGAACATTCTGTCACATGTTAAAAGAAGACATCATAAATCACGACTGGCTCTGACACTGTTAAACACTGCTGCTGGCATAAACTTTCAAAAAACTTTTCAGCTCATGAAAATCTTACACACAACCTGTTGAAAAGCAAAAGAAAGCAATTTTCTTTCAGATCACAGACTGATCCAAAGCACTGAGTCACAAAGAACAGGTGCTAGAGTCAATGCAATGGGCTTCATAGTACTGAAGTCCAGTTATCAGGTAAAACAAGAGAAATTGTTATATGCATTTTTATGCATTTTGTTACTTCTCACAATAGAACAAATGGAATACTTGTTCAAAGAAACTGCATTGTACAAAGCCAATATGTAGATGTTATCTTAAAGGGATAGCAAACTCACAGTCCATATAGGCTACCTCAAAAGCTGTATTCCAAGCCTTCGGAGCCATAAAATGGGTTTGTGTGCCAAACAAACCCAAATTAACTGACAACGTTCCTGTGTCTGGACTATTCAGTCAACTCAAGAACCGGAACAAATCATTCAGATCAGATCAACCAATTCATGGAAAAGATCAAACTTGTTTACACATGACTACTTCTATTATGCAGAGCAGATGTCAAAATTATGAGAGGATAAAAATTTACATTTTAATTGGTCCCTTGCATTATCGCTAACATATGGCCCCAAAAGACTTAATATCGCGTATGAGTTGTATGGATTATTTCTATAATTATACAGTGACTTTGCATCCGTTTTGAGGTTTAACATCTATAGTAACCATTCATTGTCATTGCATGGAAAACACATTCATAAACTTTCCTCCTCTATCCCTTTAAAGAACTTAACTCGACGCATCTCAGTGTATCCCGGTTTATAACATTATTTATTTAACATGAATAAAAACCGGTAATGTAATGTTTATTGATAGAACAATTCTACACTGCATCAGATGCTTGTGAAAACACCTTTCCCTAAACCACAAGCTGCACACAACACTTCGTCTTGCACAAACTAATCTCAGATTTACACACACATACTTAAAACTTGTAAACCACAGGGCATTAACACTTAAGGCCAGAAGGAAAACAACACCTGTCAAAGAAATGTTTTACATATGTCAAGGTACAACTCACCAGGTCAAGGTATGCGTCAACGTAACCAGTCATTTCTTTAAACACATCGCGGATCCAGAAAACTCTGGCACGCCAAGCACAGCGCACGCGATCCAATTAGAACGAATTCAAGAGAACCGAGTCGCGCGAGCGAAACGAACGAACAAAAAGTTACGATCAATGCGATTCTTTCATCACTCTCTCGCTCCTCGATTACATCTTCAGTTTTAAATCACCGCGACTTCTCCGTTGCCATATGCATCATATCTGACAGACATGAGAGAGGAAACTGATGAAAACATCGTTTGATCGGTTCTGTGAAAGTTAAACTCACCCACTTGTGACTAAAATCCGCGAGGAGACGACAAGAGAAGCGCGCACCCTCCGTTCCTTTCACACTACACGGTCGTTTCTTTCTCTCTTCTTCCTTTTCTCTGCCTCTCTCGCTCTCTTTCCCTCTTCTTTTCGTCTCTCTTAGAAATAATTATGCGCTCTGATTCAAGAACCCTCTCTGGGTCACGTGACTCCACCCTTCAAATATACAGCACATATTTCACAAGCCACAAAATGCCTAGAGGGAAGAAACAGAGGCAAGCTTAAATTTCAGTTTTTAATTCTCTGCCTCTCTTTCTTTCTTTCTCCTTCTTTTTCTCACTCCTTGAACTCTGTGTATTCACAAAGTGACAAGCACTGAGTAGCACATGATATAGGAATGCCAACATCTAGTTAAAATGCTGGATACAGTTTCTTCTCATTTAAGACGACATGAAATCTTACTTAACTGATACATGTTCCTGGGCTTATTGTGAAGGGTTCATTGGTGCATGTTATTCCGGTTGGGAAAAAAAATCGTCTTTGCAATCTGTCATCAAAATGCAATAACGTGCTTCAAACACAGCGTGAAAGTGTGAAAACCCTAGATCAAGCTATTCATGCGATGTGAATTACAAACTTGCATGAACAGTAGTAAATATGAAACAGGAAAACATGTAAAATGATGTTGGATTAACAAGTTGAAAAGCATTAAACAAACCAAAAACATCCACCAATGAATCATTTCAGGGTTTACACCAACAGTAATGATTTACTTGCCACAAAAGTCCACAAGAAAATGGCATCTTTTTGATGATGGGAGACTGTAAATATGGCAAGTTCCAAACTTCATGGTGCTGAGGGTGTGTCCGGCTATATGCCACTCTCTATGTGTTTTATATCAGTACAGTGTGCAGTTTGTGTTTGTATGGAACAGTTCTGCGCTGGGTTGTTTGTGGTTCTGGGCGTTTGCCTGGGTTCCTCCTAAAGCTGAAATTCTGTACTGGCTTTGGTCAAAAGAAACCCCCAGAAACCTCACTGTGAAGACACACCTTAACTGGCTCCTTTTTGACGGTGCCATCTCAAGCTCAAGGAGGTGGCATGTCAGGTTCAGCCTTGGGTCTGATGGTAATTCGTGCAAATAAATCAAATGGAACACTTGTTTTTATTCTAAACTCAATTATTAGTTACACAAAAATATATTTACATATGGTCATATTCTAATGTTTTGAAAGGTTAGTTGGACATGAGACAACATCGCTGTGTACAAAAGTTCTATTCAGTTTGTACTGGACTAAATATGAACTTCTTGTCAAATAACATTTGAGAACGTTTTCAGCATTCAGATTTTTATTTGCTAAGATAAACCGTTTACTAAACAGAGCTCAGTTAAAGTGTAGTAGGATACTTTAGCAGGGCTGGCATTGAGTCAAAATACACAAGTCAACAGGAAATGGTTTGCTTTGCCACACAACCCTATACTCTACACAGCTTTATATCACTCTTTGTAAACGTATTAACTGTCTGTCAAAAGCACTACTAATTTAGAATGTGATCACTAAGAATATGAGGATATTTAAAACTAAGGAAAAAAATAGTGACAAGAGATTCGATGCTTTAGGAGTCTCCCTATCAAATAATTTCTAAATACTTAGTAGATGGGTTTAATTTCTCTTACATTTTTGTTGGAGCATCTAGTTTATAGTTGATCACGTTTCAAACAATATTACAGTATGTGCTGTCATTCTCTGTGTCTGTGTGTCAGTAGCAGGAGAGAGGTCAGAGGTTAGCAGTGTTTGTGTTTCATTGTCAGTGAAGTGTGTTGGAGGTTGAGATTTATGATCTCTGTGTTGGGAGACTGCAGAGTGGAGGATAATGAAGATAGATCAGACTGCTATCTCTCTCTCTTCCTCTCTCGCTCCCCTCATTCTCCCACACTACCTGTGTACCTCTCTGTCTGTCTCTCTGTCTTTGTCTTTCAGTCTTCCACATTGCATTTCATTTTCATCTGCTTTACTCTCCCTATTTCCTGTTATTCTGCTTTTATACAGAATTCTTGCATCCGAATATGCCTACTTAGTATTGGCATTGATGGCTTCATGAAGAACCTTTAACATCCATGGAAACTCCACTGCACAAAAGGTTCTTTATAGTGGAAAAGGGTTCTTTCTAGCCATTAAAAAAATGGTTCTTTTAAGAATTGCTCACTGAAAGGTTCTTTGAGGAACCCAAAATGGCTCTTTTATGGCATCACTGCAATTCTGGAACCTTTTGTCTATGTCTTGATTTTTCACAGGTGTTTACCCATATTTTGAATTATTGCATTGTGTTGTGTTGTAGGGTTAAAAGAAATGTCTGTAATTTTTTTTTTACAGTAAATTACAGTCTGAATATGGAATTAGCATTCAGATACTAATATCTTAATGACTCTTCCTTTAAATATGCATGGATATGCAGTTCATTGAATGAGTAGTAGTTGTCATAACACATTAGGGGAACTATATTGGATGACACACCATGTCTGCTGAGATTCTGAAGTCCCAGTACTGAGGAGCCATAATATTCAAAGTTTTTAAAAACCTGGCTTTTTTCAAGTGGTTTTTCAAAGTGGTTCCTTATGGATAAATTGTAGGTTTTTGAAACACCTTCAGTAAATTACTAAATTGGGTGTTGATAATACATCATAGGTCAAAAAATACATAGTTGAATGCCAACAAAGCAGATGCATTCATCAATAAAATTAGTAAAAATAGCACACACTCACTGTAAAAACAATTTGGTGTAGGACCAATTTTCACTCAGAAATTGCTACACTGTGAAAAATGACCGTGAATTTAATGGTAAAAGACTGTAAAAATGCTACAGTAAAAACCTGTTAAATGGTTAACGGTAAATTCCCCTACTATATACTGTGAAAAACGGTATTGGACATTACATGTAATTTTACGGTAGTATACCGTTTTTGTAAGTGAAAAAGACCGTATAATTTCAAATTTGATGTTTTTGTTGTTGAAATAACTGTTTCTTTTTAGTTTTTTCTTATCAGTTTTGTATATTAGGGTTGTGTGTTACACCTAATGTTGTTAAATGAATGTTTATTGCATTATTTCAGTTTCATGTGTGTTACCATGATGGTGTTTTTGGTGTTTATGTGAATGACACTGCGCACCTTCTATAAATGTTATTTTTTAAAAGCTGCTTGAGATGGGCTTTGGTTCATCATGTAACTTTCTCACATTACCTGCATTTGGTGGTTATCAGTGTATTACAAAAGTACAAAACAGATTTCAGTACTTCAATAGGTTGGTATATTAACATTATATCAGTTAATGAAATTACGGTATTTAACTGTAAATTTAAGTTAAAACCTAAAACGTCGCTACCGTATTTTTTACGGTAAAATTCCGGCAACCACAGCTGCCAGTTTTTTACCGTAAATTTTACAGAATTTTTTTTACAGTGTAGTTAATTTCACACTTAATTACAAAAGAAACAGCAAGTAACACTGAATTAAACATGAGATTTTGAAGTAAAAACACTGAAATGTTTTCGTGAATGTTATCAAATACTCGAAAAATCTTTTTTCACTGTGTATTTGAACACAGGCTCTCTGTCATTTGCTCCACCTCTCCCCCTCTTTCACCCCTAATGGTAGCATTTGTCACCCTTTACTATGATATCATAAGTCATCTTAAAGGCCTCTGAAATCATCGTTATTTTATCCTTCCTCCTTCATTCTTTTTCATCCATGACCTTCTTTTCCTCTGTGTTAATTGTCAGGAGTGCAAATAAATAAATTAATAACATTTCCACTAAGACGTGTATTTATTTTTTGCCAAGGACTAGTGGGCCTGGATGGAAAAGAGACGGGAAAGAAAACGAAAAAGGGAGAGGAGGAGAGAGAGAGAGACACATAAAGAGTGAGGCTGGTGGCCACGGAAGGTTTTAATCAGGAACAAGATGCCTGTAATGAGATCACTATTTCCTTGCATGCAGATTGATGTCATGTGAAGTTTTGTACTGCAATGATGAGAGTGAGACTTGCGGAGAGAGCGCGAGGCGGGCATGCGCGCAAACAAGCGCAACACACATTTACTCAAAGCACGCACACGTAAATACAAGGACACACGCACACGGAAGGCATCCGTTTTCAGTTTCAAAGTCAAACGCACTGCTCGACCAGTAAAGGGCCTCATTCATTCCGCCTGGCAAAATGTACACATTTAGACTCCAACTGACATGAAGAAATAACATACACGGGGAAAAACAACACAGAGAGCTTTTGGGAAAAGCTATAAGGGGAAAAAATGGGACAGGCTGTGGTGTATATTTTGCATTAAAGTTCATGTAAATGTATAAGCCACATGCCATATTTAATCTGCGGTTGTATATGTGCGCATGCTTGTACGTATTTTTGTGTGCGCGAGTCAAGGGAGCGAGCGCGCTTCGGAGGTCCAAACATAGTTGTCAGAAAAACCTAACAGAGTGCCAATAAGCGCATGCAAATGAGCGCGCGGCCTACCCTCCAACATATGTGACCAATGAAAGGTGAATGGCCCTCCTGTCTATACTTTCCTCACAATCAGCCATGATGTCACCATGAACCCTCTTTGAACCGACCTCTGTCAAAAAACATTTCGCTCTCTCCCTCTCCTTCGCTTCTCATTTTCCACCTTTCCCTATTGCACTCACCAGGCTGCCTCCCTCCAGTCCGAATTCTTTTGGTGAAACCACATTTTTTCTTTCTTCTTTTTATTCGCTTCTCCCCCCCC